TGGTGATGATGGTGGTGGTGATGGTGGTGGTGGTGGTGATGGTGGTAGTGATGGTGATGGTGGTGATGATGGTGATGGTGATGGTGGTGATGGTGGTGATGGTGATGGTGGTGATGGTGGTGATGGTGGTGGTGGTGATGGTGATGGTGGTGATGGTGGTGATGATGGTGGTGGTGATGATGGTGATGGTGGTAGTGATGGTGATGGTGGTGATGATGGTGATGGTAGTGATGGTGATGGTGGTGATGATGGTGATGGTGGTGATGGTGGTGGTGGTGATGGTGGTGGTGATGGTGGTGATGGTGATGGTGGTGGTGATTGTGATGGTGGTGATGGTGGTGGTGGTGATGGTGGTGGTGATGGTGGTGATGGTGATGGTGGTGGTGATTGTGATGGTGGTGGTGGTGGTGATGGTGATGGTGGTGGTGATGGTGGTGATGGTGATGGTGGTGGTGATTGTGATGGTGGTGGTGGTGGTGATGGTGATGGTGGTGATGGTGATGGTGGTGATGGTGTTGGTGGTGGTGATGGTGGCTCTCACCCATCAGCTGAATTCCTGGATTCTCTGGGCCAGCGTTGGGAGAGGTTTGAGACAGCGCGAACATTCCACATTACTATGACAGGGTCATGTCCATCACCGTGGGTGGGTGAGTGGGTGAGTGGATGAGTGAGTGGATGAGTGAGTGAGAGAGTGGGTGAGTAGGTGAGTGAGTGAGTGAGTGGTGAGTGAGCGAGTGGTGAGTGAGTGAGTGGGTGGTGAGTGAGTGGTGAGTGAGTGGTGAGTGAGTGGTGAGTGAATGGGTGAGTGAGTGAGTGGTGAGTGAGTGGGTGGGTGGGTGAGTGAGTGAGTGGGTGAGTGAGTGGGTGAGTGCGTGAGTGGGTGAGTGAGTGGGTGAGTGAGTGGTGAGTGAGTGGGTGAGTGAGTGAGTGGTGAGTGAGTGGTGAGTGAGTGGTGAGTGACTGAGTGAGTGGGTGAGTGAATGGTGAGTGAGTGGTGAGTGACTGAGTGAGTGAGTGAGTGGTGAGTGAGTGGTGAGTGAGTGGTGTGTGACTGAGTGAGTGGGTGAGTGAGTGGTGAGTGAGTGGTGAGTGGTGAATGAGTGAGTGAGTGGTGAGTGAGTGGTGAGTGAGTGGTGAGTGAGTGAGTGGTGAGTGAGTGAGTGAGTGGTGAGTGAGTGGGTGAGTGAGTGAGTGAGTGGTGAGTGAGTGAGTGAGTGGTGAGTGAGTGGGTGAGTGAGTGGGTGAGTGAGTGAATGGGTGAGTGAGTGAGTGAGGAGTGAGTGAGTGAGGAGTGAGTGAGTGAGGAGTGAGTGAGTGGTGAGTGAGTGAGTGAGTGGTGAGTGAGGGGTGAGTGAGTGAGTGAGTGGTGAGTGAGTGGGTGAGTGAGTGAGTGGGTGAGTGAGTGAGTGAGTGGTGAGTGAGTGAGTGGGTGAGTGAGTGAGTGGTGAGTGAGTGGGTGAGTGAGTGAGTGAGTGGGTGAGTGAGTGAATGGGTGAGTGGGTGAGTGAGTGGGTGAATGAGTGAGTGGGTGAGTGAGTGGTGAGTGAGTGGGTGAGTGAGTGAGTGAGTGGGTGAGTGAGTGAGTGAGTGGGTGAGTGAGTGAGTGAGTGAGTGGTGAGTGAGTGAGTGAGTGGGTGAGTGAGTGGGTGGTGAGTGAGTGGGTGAGTGAGTGAGTGAGTGGGTGAGTGAGTGAATGGGTGAGTGGGTGAGTGAGTGGGTGAGTGGTGAGTGAGTGAGTGAGTGGGTGAGTGAGTGAGTGGTGAGTGAGTGGGTGAGTGAGTGAGTGAGTGGGTGAGTGAGTGGGTGAATGAGTGGGTGAGTGAGTGAGTGGTGAGTGAGTGGGTGAGTGAGTGGTGAGTGAGTGAGTGAGTGGTGAGTGAGGGGTGAGTGAGTGAGTGAGTGGTGAGTGAGTGGGTGAGTGAGTGAGTGGGTGAGTGAGTGAGTGAGTGGTGAGTGAGTGAGTGGGTGAGTGAGTGAGTGGTGAGTGAGTGGGTGAGTGAGTGAGTGAGTGGGTGAGTGAGTGAATGGGTGAGTGGGTGAGTGAGTGGGTGAATGAGTGAGTGGGTGAGTGAGTGGTGAGTGAGTGGGTGAGTGAGTGAGTGAGTGGGTGAGTGAGTGAGTGGGTGAGTGAGTGAGTGAGTGGTGAGTGAGTGAGTGGGTGAGTGAGTGAGTGGTGAGTGAGTGGGTGAGTGAGTGAGTGAGTGGGTGAGTGAATGGGTGAGTGGGTGAGTGAGTGGGTGAGTGGTGAGTGAGTGAGTGAGTGGGTGAGTGAGTGAGTGAGTGGTGAGTGAGTGGGTGAGTGAGTGAGTGAGTGGGTGAGTGAGTGGGTGAGTGAGTGGTGAGTGAGTGAGTGAGTGGTGGGTGAGTGAGTGAGTGGGTGAGTAAGTGGGTGGGTGAGTGACTGACTGAGTGAGTGAGTGGTGAGTGAGTGAGACACTTACTGTAGAAACTGGTCATGGCGTAGTTCTGACAGCGATCTCCTGTGAACTCACTCGGACAGCTGTGGAGAGACAGAGACCCAAACTCACCACCTCACTCACCACTACACTCACCACTACACTCACCACTACACTCACCACCCATTCACTCACCCACTCACTCACCACTACACTCACCACCCATTCACTCACCCACTCACTCACCACTACACTCACCACTCACTCACCACTCACTCACCACTCACTCACCCACCCACCAACCCACTCACCCACCCACTCACTCACCACTCACCACCCACTCACTCACCCACTCACTCACCCACTCACTCACCCACTCACCCACTCACCCACCCACCAACCCACTCACTCACCACTCACTCACCACTCACTCACCACTACACTCACTCACCACTCACTCACCACCTCACTCACCACTCACCCACTCACTCACCACCTCACTCACCACTCACCCACTCACCCACCCACCAACCCACTCACTCACTCACCACTCACTCACCACTACACTCACCACTACACTCACCACTACACTCACCACTCACTCACCACTACACTCACCCACTACACTCACCACTCACTCACCACTCACTCACCACCTCACTCACCACTCACTCACCACTCACTCACCCACTCACTCACTCACCACTCACCCACTCACTCACTCACCCACTCACCACTACACTCACCACCCATTCACTCACCACCTCACTCACCACTCACCCACTCACCCACTCACTCACCACCTCACTCACCACTCACTCACCACTACACTCACCACTACACTCACCACCTCACTCACCACTACACTCACTACTACACTCACCACCCATTCACTCACTCACTCACCCACCCACCAACCCACTCACTCACCCACTCACCCACCCACTCACTCACCCACTCACTCACTTCACTCACTCACTCACCACTACTCACCACTACACTCACCACTACTCACCACTACACTCACCACTACTCACAACTACTACTCACCACCACACTCACCACTACTCACCACCACACTCACCACTACACAGAGATCCCTGAAACCAAGTATCCAGTGGTGGATTACTCTAATATAAACTATATATATAGTTTATATATATACTATATATGTAGTTTATATATAGTTTATATATACTATATATAGTTTATATATAGTTTACATATATAAACTACATATATAGTTTATATATAAACTATATATACAAACTATATACATAAACTACATATATAGTTTATATATATATGTATAAATTATATATATAAACTACATATATAGTTTATATGTAAATTATATATATAAACTACAAATATCGTTTATATATCTACACTATATATAAACTACATATATAGTTTATATATATACACTATATATAAACTACATATATAGTTTATATATATTTATATATAAACTACATATATAGTTTATATATAAACTATATATATAAACTATGTATAAACTATATATAAACTACATATATAGTTTATACATAAACTATATATATAAACTATATATAAACTACATATATAGTTTATATATAAACTATATATTTGAACTATATACAGTTAATATACGTTACAATCCCTGCCTACTGACATCACTGGTGACTGTAGTTACAATCCCTGCCTACTGACATCACAGGTGACTGTAGTTACAATCCCTGTCCACTGACATCACTGGTGACTGTAGTTACAATCCCTGTCCTACTGACATCACAGGTGACTGTAGTTACAATCCCTGTCCACTGACATCACGTGGTGACTGTAGTTACAATCCCTGTCCACTGACATCACTGGTGACTGTAGTTACAATCCCTGTCTACTGACATCACAGGTTGACTGTAGTTACAATCCCTGTCTACTGACATCACCGGTGACTGTAGTTACAATCCCTGTCCACTGACATCACTGGTTGACTGTAGTTACAATCCCTGTCCACTGACGTCACAGGTGACTGTAGTTACAATCCCTGTCCTACTGACATCACTGGTGACTGTAGTTACAATCCCTGTCCACTGACGTCACAGGTGACTGTAGTTACAATCCCTGTCTACTGACATCACAGGGTGATTGTAGTTACAATCCCTGCCCAGTGACATCACGGGTTGACTGTAGTTACAATCCCTGCCCAGTGACATCACGGGTTGACTGTAGTTACAATCCCTGTCCACTGACATCACTGGTGACTGTAGTTACAATCCCTGTACTACTGACATCACTGGTGACTGTAGTTACAATCCCTGCCTACTGACATCGCCGGTGACTGTAGTTACAATCCCTGTCTACTGACATCACAGGTTGACTGTAGTTACAATCCCTGTCCACTGACATCACAGGTTGACTGTAGTTACAATCCCTGTCCTACTGACATCACTGGTGACTGTAGTTACAATCCCTGTCCACTGACATCGCAGGTGACTGTAGTTACAATCCCTGTCCACTGGCATCACCGGTTGACTGTAGTTACAATCCCTGTCTACTGACGTCACGGGTTGACTGTAGTTACAATCCCTGCCCGCTGACATCGCTGGTTGACTGTAGTTACAATCCCTGTCTACTGACATCACGAGTTGACTGTAGTTACAATCCCTGTCCACTGACATCACTGGTTGACTGTAGTTACAATCCCTGCCCACGGTGACTGTAGTTACAATCCCTGTCCACTGACATCACTGGTTGACTGTAGTTACAATCCCTGCCTACTGACATCACTGGTGACTGTAGTTACAATCCCTGTCCACTGACATCACGTGAGACTGTAGTTACAATCCCTGCCCACGGTGACTGTAGTTACAATCCCTGTCCACTGACATCACAGGTTGACTGTAGTTACAATCCCTGCCTACTGACATCACTGGGTTGACTGTAGTTACAATCCCTGTCCACTGACATCACGTGAGACTGTAGTTACAATCCCTGTCCAGTGACATCACGGTTGACTGTAGTTACAATCCCTGTCCACTGACACCACAGGTTGACTGTAGTTACAATCCCTGCCTACTGACATCACAGGTGACTGTAGTTACAATCCCTGTCCACTGACATCGCTGGTGACTGTAGTTACAATCCCTGTCCACTGGTATCACGGGTTGACTGTAGTTACAATCCCTGTCCACAGACATCACAGGTTGACTGTAGTTACAATCCCTGTCTACTGACGTCACGGGTTGACTGTAGTTACAATCCCTGTCCTACTGACATCACGGGTTGACTGTAGTTACAATCCCTGTCCTACTGACATCACAGGTTGACTGTAGTTACAATCCCTGTCTACTGACATCACGGGTTGACTGTAGTTACAATCCCTGCCTACTGACATCGCCGGTGACTGTAGTTACAATCCCTGTCCACTGACATCACTGGTGACTGTAGTTACAATCCCTGTCCACTGACATCACTGGTGACTGTAGTTACAATCCCTGTCCAATGACATCACGGGTTGACTGTAGTTACAATCCCTGTCTACTGACATCACTGGTGACTGTAGTTACAATCCCTGTCCAATGACATCACAGGTTGACTGTAGTTACAATCCCTGCTTACTGACATCACGGGTTGACTGTAGTTACAATCCCTGTCCACTGACATCACTGGTGACTGTAGTTACAATCCCTGTCCTACTGACATCACGGGTTGACTGTAGTTACAATCCCTGCCTACAGACATCACAGGATGACTGTAGTTACAATCCCTGTCCACTGATTATCACGGGTTGACTGTAGTTACAATCCCTGCCTACAGACATCACAGGTGACTGTAGTTACAATCCCTGTCCACTGACGTCACGGGTTGACTGTAGTTACAATCCCTGTCCACTGACATCACTGGGTGACTGTAGTTACAATCCCTGTCCACTGACATCACTGGGTGACTGTAGTTACAATCCCTGTCTACTGACATCACGTGTTGACTGTAGTTACAATCCCTGCCTACTGACATCACAGGTGACTGTAGTTACAATCCCTCGCTACTGACATCACGGGGTGACTGTAGTTACAATCCCTGTCCACTGACATCACTGGTTGACTGTAGTTACAATCCTCGCTACTGACATCACGGTTGACTGTAGTTACAATCCCTGTCTACTGACATCACTGGTGACTGTAGTTACAATCCCTGTCTACTGACATCACTGTTTGACTGTAGTTACAATCCCTGTCCACTGACATCACAGGTGACTGTAGTTACAATCCCTGTCTACTGACATCACAGGGTGACTGTAGTTACAATCCCTGTCTACTGACATCACAGGGTGACTGTAGTTACAATCCCTGTCCACTGACATCACAGGTGACTGTAGTTACAATCCCTGTCTACTGACATCACTGCTTGACTGTAGTTACAATCCCTGTCTACTGACATCACAGGTTGACTGTAGTTACAATCCCTGTCCTACTGACATCACGGGTGACTGTAGTTACAATCCCTGTCTATTGACATCACGGGTTGACTGTAGTTACAATCCCTGTCCTACTGACATCACGGGTTGACTGTAGTTACAATCCCTGTCCACTGACATCACTGGTGACTCTAGTTACAATCCCTGCCCACGGTGACTGTAGTTACAATCCCTGCCTACTGACATCGCCGGTGACCGTAGTGGCTCCTCTTGTTGGCCCCAATACTCCGGGCCCAGGTTACTCTGGGAAACGCCCTGGGTTGGGTTGAGTTAGTTGAGTTTAGTTTAGTTTCAAGTTTATTTTGGCATAGCCCACGGAGAGCGATTTGACGTTTTGTTCAGAAGGACGAGTCCATCAATGTTCGGAAAAGAGGAGGAGAGTGGGGGGGGAGACGAAAAATTAATGGATGCGGTCTGAATGCCACCGTAAGCGTGAGCAATCAATCAAGACCCCGAAATGGTTCATCAAATCCTTCCAATGATTGCTAAGCCCAGAATCCATCTTCTCGGTTGAAATTGTCTCCGTGCTTGTATAAGTGGATGGCATCATGAACGAATCTCTCACGGTAGCCGTAAGCGTGAGCAATCAATTAAGACCCCAAATGGTTTATCAAATCCTTCCAATGATTGCTAAGCCCAGAATCC